TTTTTTTTACGTTGTAAGTTTTTTCCTGACACCATTTCTGCAATTCGATATTTCAGAGTCATCGCTATATCCAGTGTAACAACACTGTCACAGTGTCAATTCAGTGACAAAGTTTTGCAACTTCGTTGAAGAGAAGAAACAAAAAAAAAGTTTTTTTGGTGTTTGACAATGTGTGTATAGTGTGAGAGGTGGAAAGGTTGAGAAAGTGTTGACAAAAAAATAAAGTTATTGGCTTTTGGGGCTACAGCAGGGGCAATACCGCAATCAAAGGACCCGTGGAAAGGCCACGAAGAAGACTGACGGAGAGGTTAAATTATGGTCACTGGGTGGGAGAGGACGGAAGGAGAGAGAGAGAGAGGAAAGCGGTTCACCTTGGTCGACCAGTTTGTTGACCGGCACTGTGGTGTCCACCGTGAAGGAGTTCATTCATTCATTCATTCATTCGTTCATTCATTCATTCATTTAGTATTTCCTCCCCTCCCCCCCCCTTACTCTTACTCTCTTATTCCACCCTAATATACCTTTGTTGGCATTAACATTGGTTGCCCTATCGATTTTTATGCCTAACTACTAATCCAAAATATGCATACATTCTTACTCTTAAACACTTCTCTTAAATCAACGCATACAAACACAGACAGATATACACAGGCACAAACCAAAACGCAGAGACGTGTCCACCAAAACCTCATAGGTATGTGTCACACTGGCGACCGTATTATTATTATTAGTAGTAATATTATTGTTTTTCTTTCTCTTTTCTCGTTCACCTGTTTCATTTTCTTTTTTTTTTTCTCCAATTATCAAACACATACAGTTTCTCTCCTTCATTTTCTTTCATATTCTTTTTTCTTTTCACTTTCAATCGTTTGTTGGTCACAAATTGTCGTTGTTGTTGGTGATCTGTTTGGCTGTGTTTGCGTTCGTTCGGATATGCCGACGTGCAGTCGTCTTCTCGTCGTTTTTACCCGGTTTTGGTACAAGAATAGACAATATAGACATCTAACAACTCACAGCATCGGCATCAGCATCAATACCAACAGCACGGGAGCAGCAGCATTGGAATTGGTTTGTTTGGTCATTTTAGTGTTACTTTTTGGCCTCAGAAAACTGACCAGTATCATCGTTCTCATTGCCGTTGTCACCATCATCACACCGTTGTCCAACAGTATTTTTTTTCTGTGTCCGTTTGTCTGAAGGTTTCATTGAGTGTGTGTTTTTATAACTATAAAAAGTTTTTATTTCTTTTTAATTGGTTTTTATTGTCATTTTCACTTTTTTCTTTCAATTTCACTGTTTTTTTTTCTTGCTTATCTACTACATTT